TTTCGAATTTAATCAAATTAGTCCCTTTAATTTTATTTGTGCTTATGATGCATGCTTGTCTTTGATTTTGTCCATTTTAGCCCAAAAATTAAAAAATGTTTCAATTTGGTTTACCCTTCTTTCAAACTTACCTATTAAGACTCAAACATAAACACAACGAGTAAGTTGAATCAAAACCCCAATGTTAAAGTATGCAACCGTGTTTAAACGGAGGATTGTGAGATGCGCGTCTGCCCTTCCTTACTCCTAACTGAACCCCCGAACCTCACCCTTCCTTACTCCTAACTGAACCCTCGAACCTCAATCTCTGCGCAGACCCATTTTAGGTGACTTGTCCCACCTTATAATTTGGATGAGTGGCGACTCCCTTCTCTTTTGTATTTTTACACTTAATGATTTTTTATTTATTTTAAAAAAAATCTTAAGTGGTCGTCAACAAAGAAGACATACACTTTCAAAGAAATGTGTATCAAAAGATCAAGATGATCTATGAATTAGTGAGAAATCAAAGTAACACCATGTAAATACAACAACAATATTATATATAATAGTTGATCAAGTATGAAAACTAGTTTTAAAGTAGAATGGTAAATGTTGGCCCAGACGATGACAACACAAGAGGAGGGTGAATTGAGGTTTTAAAAACTTATGTAATTTTTATTTGTAAATCGATAAACAAACACATGCAATCACAAATGCATAAATTAAAGTATGAAAATTAAACAGTAAAGGAAGAAAAAGCTCAAACATGATGATTTATAGTGGTTCGATTATAATTTGTACCAAATCCAATCCCTAAGCTACCTGCTTTAGAGTTTGCTTTGGATTCAAAGCATTTCCTCCAACTTTTGGGTGTAGAGAAAAACATTTGTAATAACTTTGTCAATGCTATCCATCTTCAACAAACTAACTCTTTGTTTTTAACTCTCAAAAATCTAATCTTTACCACAATGATGGTTTTTCTAGATCCAATAAAACTACCCAATCCCTTTCTCACTTTCTTGATGAAAGAGAATGAAAAAAATAATGATCACAAGATGATTGGAATGAAAAATTTAAATACAAAGAATATGAAAAGTTGTAACTTGTTTTCTTTTAAAGATGGAGGCTCTTCTTTTCTTTTCTCTTATCTTCTTCAACCTCCTATGGTGTTTATTCATTATCCAAAAATGCTCAATTAAGGCTTCTAACCATTACACTAGATCTGGAAATAATCTTACTCAATTTAAGGTTTTCTCAATTTAAAACCTACCTTTTTGAACTTTAGTACCAAATCCTTAACCGTTGATATTAAATATTCATGAAAGTGTTGTATCTTTTGCTTGATTTTAGAACTTTTCAATTAAAACCTAGACTATGAAAACGGTATCTTCAAAAGGTTTTAAGCCTTTTTAATTGAAATTTATCAACAAGAATATAGTAGCTTCAAAAGGTCTGGACCTTTTTATTTGGTTCTGCACCCTTTTACCTGGTTTACACCTTTTTGCACAAAGTTGCATTATAAAAAGCTTTTAAGAAGAAAACTCAAAATTTTTTTAAACATATTCACTTAATGGTTGGATAATACATTTAATCTTAAAAACATGATTTCAAAAGCAAAATGCAATTACATCCTTTATAAACTATAAGAAATCTAAAATTGAATTTCCAAAGATAAAATTTAAACAATTAAATTTCAAACTTTGAACTCAACCCATTCACATTTATAATTGAATTTTCATTAGTTAAATTAAAATGAAAAATTTAATTAATCAAGTGAGAAGTATGTAAAATAGCAATTCCATGCTCAAGATTCACTCCCAAGTGAATCCCAAGTAGTTAGGGTTCAAGTCTAGGAAGTGACCACAAAAAGTTAATGGTCTAACGAATTTGATGCTAGCTAACATAATGGACAAGAGGGCTAGGGACCAAGAGATGATGGAGAAGTTGCATGTTGATATATTTTAAATATTGAGAAAATTGTGGTTGATTTTATTACTGCAACACTAACAACATATGGGCTTTATCCCCAAGTAAGTGAGCATTTATTTCATCTTTTAGGTATGTATTATGGTGGTGGCCAGCGAGGACAACATGGGGCTTACATGCTACGACACTGTAACTCCATGGAGACATCTCCATAATAGCCACAAATTGAGGTGCATGTCCATCAACTTATGTTTAATCCTCGTTGTGGTGTAATCATGGTCCATAATTTTGATGGTATTTGTTATTATGACTTTTATTTTCATGGCTTTTGTTATTAGTATTATGACTTATATATTGTTTATATTATATAAGATATTGGCTTCTTATGTACATGTTCATATATTTGGATTAGTTGACTATTTGACTTACTTAGTATCATTTATGTGAATTACCTAAACCCTAAAATGTACTAAGTTATATTTTTCATAGACTTGTGTTTTTAGATGTAAATTTAGATTTTGTCAATTGTTCACTTATGATTCTAAAGTTTAATTATAAGTTAAATACACATTTATTTATTAACTTTTATTGGCAAAAAGCAAAGCATTTTAAAGGAATGAAAAAACAAAATCATCATGTCCATTTTGTTAATTCTAGAAAGGGACTAGGGAATCGGTATTTAGAGATGAAATCTATGTTGCTGATATATATAGAAATAATGTGTGACACATCTATATTTGCCAAAATATTCAAAATCATGTAGCTTTGGCAACAATTTTAAAGTAGCATTACATTTCTGTGGGTAATGGTTTAATGTAACAAGGGGATGTCTGTGGGTGATTTAGTGAAAATATTTTAAACCCTTAAATTACATAAACTTTTCAAACTATTTTAGTAGGCGCTTGTTGACACCAGATAATATTGCACCTCACATGAGTAAAAGTTATTCCAATTTTTACTCATATGATATGGAATATTAGATATTTTTTTCAAATTATTTCATCAAGTACCTTTTTGTCCTTATATGGTATTGCATTTTACATAAGTATTCTGACTTTCACCCACGTGGTATGGAATGTTGGATTTCTATATATATATATAGTATTTATCTATCTCACTTTCTAAATATTAGAAAAAAATTATTCTAAATTGTTTCAATAAACTCTCACTAAAGAAGAAACTAAAATACCATATTTTTAAGGCATAAATTAGAGACTATTTTGTCCTTTTCTATAATGCTTTATTAAAATAATATAATTTTAAAATAATTTTTCTCCTAATGTTTAAGAGATAAGGCGGGTAAATACCACCCCCAATATATATTGGACTAATAGAAACCTTTTGCATATTTTTCACCTTCTTCCTCCTTATTTTCTACTTTTCTCTAGTTCAACCATTGTTTTCCATGACCTTAGATAATCAATTTTCCTTAGATCATACAATAGCATATTACATTTATATTATTATTTTGTTATTTTAACATTTGTTCTCCTTTTTTTTTTTCATTTTAAATTTTGCTTATTATAATGTTGAAATTGGGCACTAATTGAATTTTTTTTTTTTTTTTTTGTGGTTTTGTATGTTAATGTTCT